AGAGAAAAACCATTCTCAAACGCAGCGTACATATACTCGTAGTTGTTATGTTATTCTAGTATGAAATTCTTGGCCTGTAGTAATCGAGTAGGTCGTATCGGGTGTGGCGGTCTGGGCATTGTTGACGCAGACGGCTACAGGCGCAGTTCATGTGTTAACGCTCATTATTAAGTGGTCAAGCTGGATCGAGCGGATATCGCAACTGAACGTGCTGGCCGACACGCAGCTAGTACTCAGAGCTGCTACCGTTTCTGATACCTGGCTAAAGGCGACTGGTGGCGATGACCGTCACTAAACAAACCACTTTATGGATCTACAGCGAGGAGAACATACAGAACGGGCACGAAGGACCTGGCGGATATGTATACGTCAGTCCGCTACAATGATACGATACCACAACACGTTACGCGGTGTGTTACGTAGCCGCCGACAGTTCGTGGCTCTAAACCAGCGCCTTATTATACGTTCAGCTTCTTGCTGAGTGTTGGTATACGCGCAATACGAAGTAACAACGACAACAGCAACAGTTCCAGGGTGCGTATAGTTCGCACCGAAGTTGAGTGCATGAGAAAGCTGTCTGCTACTTTATGCTGTTATTTTATCTTGTTCTTGCCGACACGTAACCAAACGTAAAACGGCATCGCAAATATTTGGCATTACGGCCAGCGACGAGACTAAGTTTAGAGACAGGAGATAGCGGATACGACAGCCAAAGTGAGTACATTATAAAACCTAGCAGGACAAACAGTCAAATTTGTTCTGCCTCCCAGTTTTGCCCCACAGCGTGCTGCCCCTTAACCTGCTGCTGCACAGTAGAGTCGTTACAGTTAGCTTTGCGTCAAAAGTCACACCCGTTCTCAGCGCAATCCTTCAAACAATCTATCTATTTGGATGGTACATAGCTCGAGTGGCGGACAGTTGTCTTCGTAACAAGCCAACACGATCGGATCTAAACCACTATAGCTGATTGAAAAATGATAGGAAAACTAAATATTGCTTTGCCCTGTTGTATACCGCAGTCTTAGTCAGCTATTGCCATATATAGTAGTAGCCGAAGCACTTCTAACCGGCGACTCAGAGGGTGACTGTTCCTGTTTACTACTTTTATTCGTCATTTATTCTGGACCGCTGCTGTGAGATCCGTATGATGACATCGCACGGTCCAAGAGTGAACCAATAATAGGTGAGAAATCGGGGTAAAGAAAGAAACTCTTGTATCTATCGATAAGCTCAAAAGTCGCTTCCTGGTAAGAAGCGGTAAGTGCTCAGAGGCGCTTCCATGTCCTGTTTCGTGCTTCCCGTGAAACGCAAATGGTCAGTTGCCTCAATGTCAAAATCAGGCTAAGTATCACTAAAAAGGCTAGTGCTCATGAAATGCGTTGATAAAAATGCATCTTGCATTCTTATTCTACATAATATTAGTAACACACAATAAAATCGTAATTACTAGAGGTACGGCAAGGAAAGCTACAATGGCTCGCTTTAAAAGTCCATGACTTCCAGAGAAGTTGGAGTAGCTTTTCCCTGCTACAAAATGCCCCGCTCCACCTAATTAATGAACAATGAAATCTACGAGTTCAATTTATTCTCGATAAACCTGTGCGACGTTTGTACTTTGCAATACGGTGACACGACAGGAACAGAACTGAGAAAATGCTATCATGCATATTCTATTGCCGTCTGTTGCCAAGCACATACTGCATAGCAGCCCAGTCACACGAAGCGAGCTGACTTGCTTGTCCTTTGGCCTGTTTTCCCCGTTGATGATGAAATGATAAGTCTTAGATGTTAGTCTTACAGGGGCCACTTAGGAACGCTTCACTAGTGGATAAGCGAGCTGCTTTTCCGCCGTTTTCCCCATCGTCGGGTTTTCCCGTAAAAAAAAACCATGGCAGAGACACCGTCCGCGATTCGGATTCTAAGCGGATCGTTCGATCTTGTCTAGAATCGAGCACAGCCAAGAAAGGCAAGTCTTTCTTCCCCTCGGTTATAACTAAGCTCTTTCGCGCCTCTCTGCTTGAATCTGCCTAGAGCTAAACACACATAGCCTTGGGGACTACGGCGACGGTGGTGGCGATGACGACAACAACAATAACGCAGGGAGCCTCAATACCTCTTGAGGAAAAGGGAAGACATAATCAGAATCACAATTGTCGACCATGGTCATTTCTTCTTTCGTCTTCCCCCCATCTCGGTTCTCCGCAAAAGTTGAAAGATCTTGCTAGTTTGACCCCAGGCGATATTTACTCCTCTGCTTCGAATGAATGTCCGCAGTTCATTCCAGGAGCTTGAGTAGAGGAGTTTTGAGAGTAGAGGCGACACCGGTCATCCGCTTCCTTTTAGCGGATACCTCGGACGACCTAGCGCGTTTTGTCCACTATGAAGTCACATAGTCCCTGTGTTCATCGGCTCTTTTGACTGTCAGTTTTTCTGTTTGCAAGACTCCCAGCGATGCTTAACGTCAGCATGGGCAAGCCGATAGGCTTTAAAAGCGCTACACCCGCCGCCATGATAGGAAAGAAACGGATACGGATGGTTTCGGAGTACGCTTTGCTGTGAACTAACACATGAAAGGAGATTTTCTGATAGTAAGAAATACTGATGCCTCTATTCAATAAGCACACAGACTTGCAAGCAGGGCTGAATTCTATTGCAGAGGAAGCAGTTCGCTTCCAGGCGGTAAACTGCGAAGTCGAGGCCGATTTGGGTATTACACACAATGAGAAACGCAGCAAGCCGAAGTACTTCGTGATGAGGCTTGTTTATTAAACGGTAGAGAAAAGCTGTTAATCCACAGGCCGAACGATTTACTGCGAAATAGATTAAGGTAGAACAATACTAAACGTGTGTGTGCGGAACAACTGCATTTCCTCATATCAACTGACGCGAAGTTACGTGACCAGGCCGCCTAATCGAGGCGAATTTTCGTCTGAGATTTGTTCTTCTCATAAGGCAATCTATCAGTTCACATACAAAAGCAGTTTAGCAAAGCTGAGAAAGACAGCCTGGCTAAGGTATTAGAGTTTAGTGCCTTATGTATACCTACGCTGATGAGCATTTGTTGACAACAATATATATCGACGGCTGCCAGCGAGTACTGCATTGCCTTCCTGCTATTATATGACTGGCTTATGAGCTAGACTTTAGTCCTTGTACCAGTTGCCTGTAGTTAAGGTCATGAATATGTCACTCGTTCGGCGTGCTCCATACGACGCTCGATCTGTCCACACGTCTGACTCTCGTCGGTTCTTCGCGCGAGCTCCATTCAGCGCTTTTCAAAAATTTCCAACACCCTGCTTCAACTAAAATGCTGACTTACCAGTATTATTCCATTTTATAGCGGTACAGAACACTTACACTGGGAACGCCGACTACTTACTCATATATATGTAGGTGCGATCAAGGCTTTACGCTACGTCAATCTAATCCAAACTTTACATTACCTTTGCCTCGCCTGTTCCAGGGGCGTCTGTCTTTTTCAACGCTTAAGGTCCAGCCCAAGAGATATAATGTCCTTAAATCCGTTAAAGACATTTACTACCGCAATGTCATTCTCTAGGTTTTTTTTTTCTATTTCTAAAGAACCTACTTCCACCGATCTGAAGCACATCCTTCGTTTGTTCCCCTTGCGCTACGAGTGTTTCGTCAATACTCGTCCTACCGCGAGAGCTCCCGCTCCCTCAACAATGCTGGAACAGAGCACGATACCGGAGGCTGATGCAACGCTCACAGCGCACTCCGGTGCATCCTTAGTACCCAATTTTCCCTGCGCTTAGCGGCATGTAATAGCATATATTGAATTAAGACTCAGCAGTATTGCTAAACGTGATGCTATAAAACCTACGAGCGACTAAATGATGTGTGTCGATTCGCGCATTTGGAAACGAAATGTAGATAAAGATGGTAAGCGGAAATTGGCAGAGACAGAAAAAAAAAAGAGATGGAAATTGAGATCAAAAACGAACAGAAGCAAGGGGCGGGGTCTTCGTAATGAAGTATTCACAATGTACACATTAGCAAACAAAGAGAAACTTCAAGGGCAGCAAAGCGTCGAGGCACGGTGATAGCCTCTGAAGCAGTCACAGTGACGGCAAAAACGGAAACAATGCGGCGCGTCGAGATAGTGCCTACATCAGCACAATTTTAGCTCAGCTGGTAGCTTGACGAGAGTTAGCCGACCACGATCGCAAAGGACCACAGTATAGAAAATAGTCGCACAAGTTGGCTAGACGAAGCGTTCTTCGAAAATCTATTGCAAAAGCTTTTGCTATATTCGGACAACCTCCAAGTGCTAGCTAGAACGAGGTTGACACACATCTTGACAACATATTGACGTCGAAAGGATTCGACAAAGGTTTCGTATTTGTTAAATTTACAATAATTGTTGACAATAAACTGCTCAAAACAAGGCCGGAGACCGGTTGTTGTAATATAATTTAGTCCCCAATGAAATTTCAACCTGCTAACTCATAGAACTATTAAAACTTATCTAAGTCTATTTAAAAATCAGAATTAAATGTAAACGACCGTTGAGTCCTTAAAAAGTGTAAGCATCCTTCTACAAACATATCGTAAGCGAAAGCAAAACAGAACCGTAACAGTCGCCAATTGTTATTGTTATAATTATAATTATAGATGAAAACACCATGCATATTCCGTTTTTAGCGACAGGTGTGCCAACAAGTCACCTAAGAGGCAACTTCCAGAACCCATAAGAAGATATAGTAGAAAAGCAGTGAAGATACATCCCAGTTATCGTATCAGAACCAGCATCGACAGAACTCGCAGAAAGGTATTGCAAGAGGCAGATTGATGCTGGATAGAGAGAAGTTTGAAAAGCAAGCCTCTCTCTTAAGCTGGAGGTGAAGATTATCTGACAGGCGGATGTCCGCTGCCAGTATGTTTCGAACTGAATCAAGGGCCGCGACCGCCTAGAGATTGTCCGACGTTGTTATTCGTTGTTGTTTGCTGATCTGTTCGATCATAATTTAATTCCTTACCAAAAAAGTAGGCTTCTCTTGCAGGACGTCCTCTGATGTACGAGCGCTGTTTGTTGTCGAGGCGATGGTGAAACCCGAAAAGACGTACGGTCTTCTAATTCGTCGTCGTTGGAACCACCTTGTTTCGTCTCTAGTCCTGGTTGGCTGCAGTGCTTCAGAGCGAGTGCGATCGTGACGACGGATTCTTCGAGGTGGTGATGGTGGTTTTCGCTGTGAATATCTTCCCAATGGCCCTCCATTTAGCCATTTCCGGCGCAAACTGTGAGCACTCCCGCAGCAAATGCAGCACAGCGGAGCGGGTTCGTCGGCATCCTATGCTGGCATAGAGATTAAGGCTGACCTACGTTTGAGGTAAAGGTAAAAACCACCTCGAGAGGGTAGACAGCGATGACCTTCTCCCTTGACCCTCTGTCTACTCCTTACTCAGAACCAAGAAAAACTGTGAGAATACAATGTATACGTATACATTGACAATGATTAAGCCGGACCGATGCAGGCTAATTTATGCGGATCCAGGATGACGAACGAAATGGTGATGATCTTTGCTCCATTAGAGACTCTTGCCGAGACTTGCGACATCGAGATACAACAGGAACATATGAGCTCAGATTAGGCCGAGACTTGAGAAGTTGAACAGGGTTCGCCGTGTAGACGCTTCGAGTTATTTCAACTTCAGGTCAAATGGTTTATTTGCTGGCCGTTAAGCGCCACCTGTTATTGTATACGCACTCGCAGCTACATACGCACGCATACACACATCGTAGAGATGGGAAGATTAGCACGCATCAGGTGACGAGATAATAATTAGGTAGTTGACAAAAAGGAAATAATATGAAAAAATCCCACCAAAAATCAGGCAATCCAATCACTCTAATCAACACCAATCACCAACACACGATGAAGAATGGCAGCCACTCAGAAAAGTGAGGCTGGCTCGATCGCCTTACCTGAAACCGTTGAGAAGAAACAGAAAAAAAATCAATAAAACAAAGCAAATAAACACTGCTATAAGTAATTCAATGACAAAACCGTTTCGATTTTTGTACAAACAAACATTTACTTACTCAAATACAACAATGGGATTTAACTGTCGTTATAGATATTGAAACCTCTTTTTTTTTCATTCTTGTTGACGAAAACAAGTTAACAACAAGCGCTTATCAAATCCGTTAGATATGGAGTAAATCGTTATAGAACGTTACCCATAATCCCTATGCATCGTAGCTACTGAAAAGTGATCTAGATTTAGCTAGACTCGACTCGTTTTTAATCAGTCAGCTACATCATTATAGGCGTGATGCAACTGCGACTAAGATAGGACAAAACAGAAGAATAAAAAACAAAAAATCACGATACATTATGTGTATTGGGCGCCCCACGAACATCAGCGTTAGGAGCACACATCTAGCGACTTTTGAAACGCCAACGCTATGCAGATGCTGTGCTGCTACTAGTATTGGCTGTTTGTATCACACCTGATGCTGCTGCCACCGCTCCTATAGCAAACTGATAATAATATTGTTCATAATATTACGTCATTAATTGGGTTTTGCTGTTGTTAGTCTGATTCGGGCGAAAGCCGCCGGCGACCCCGTCGGCTCGCTATCTGATCAAAGGAAAAGATGAAACTTTAAGAACTTAGAAGACGTTTGTAGACAAACGGCTGCCAGTTGATGGGTGCTAGGTTATGCGTCAGCGTCGACGTGCTTTTCGGTTCTACTTTATTCTCTGACAAGTTTTTGCTCGTCTAGCAGCCTTCAGTAGCGATATCAAAACTGCCGCAGCACTACTATTAATATTAGTATCGTGTTCAGCTGAGCTAGCGAACAGAAAATTAAAAAAAACGGAAAGCGAGCATCCATTGAAAGTGACCGAAGAACCGGTTGCCTACCCGCCGAAAGACTGCTTCTGTAAAAGCTAGAAGCAGCTTAATCGTCTACCCCTCGAATCCTGATTGCCCCTTCTCTATTCACCTATGATATGCCGAGTTCATATATGATAAAAATGAAACTTATCAAGAACTTGTTTAAGCTTGCATTCGATAGAAGTCTTACTATTTATCCTAAACACCTATAGAGTATCGTACGAATATATGAGCAATGTCCTATAAATTGGTTGCTACGGTTACCTTATAGCTTGCGGAAATGCTGTCGCGACAGACCCCTCTGAATTCAGAAGCCCACATATTCACCTCTGAGGACCCGTGGTACAGTAACATATTGTGTACACAACCGATGCTGGGTGCTGTGGTAAATAATGCTAATGCACAGAAGTAACGTACCGTAGATCGACAGGCATTGTCTGTCGCCAACAACTGCAGAAAAATTTACAGAACTATTCTAATTGAAACGCATCCAGCTGTTGTTGTGATAGTCGGACGCGTACGGAACGAAATGGGTTCTCCGGCGCCGGTTTCGCTCTAAACAGATCACAAGGAAGAGTAGATGTTATCGTCTAGTCCTGCAGTGACGAGCGGCGTGACTGTGGTCCGCCGTTCAAAATACACGGGAAGCTGTTGCATCGGAAGGTGGCTGCTTTGTTCGTCGCCATCTGATATCATGGGTCGTGATGGGTTTACCGTATTCTTTCCGTCCCCAGACGCGTGCCTATCACATTCGGTTGTACTCATATCGTGAAACCGCGGTTCGCCATATCGGCGAACGCAAATACTTTTGGCATATATCAGCAGCGACTAGCCCGACATCGTCTGCTGTTACAGCCACTCCTCCTGCAAAGAATCGGTCAGTTTCAAATTGATAGATCGATGACCAGATGGAAGAACTGATCTTCACCAGTAAATAAAATCGCAGACACGACTTTTACTGGCCCATAGCCGTCCATTTACCCAATGGCGCAAATAACTTGAGAGACGTGCAGCACAAAAAGAAGAGTTGTCGGCAGGTTTATGTGGGTGCGGAACGACAGCCAAAATACAAGGCTCAATGTGAAGACCGCGACAAAGAAGCCCAGTACTACGAGTGCGTTGATGATTACGATTCGCGTATTTGATAACTGGCTACTCTCCCTTTTGTTTTCATCTAACAGATGGCCACAACATCGAATAGCCCCCACTGCCGTAAGCCCCACATCTAAATGAAGAACACGTTGCAGCACCACAGACACACTCGACGGAACATGGGAACAAAATAAGGCTCCCGTATTTCAAGCAATATTGCTAGCGATTATATGCCGTGCAGCAACAGCAACGATACTACTCAAGACATCGTTGACATATCTAATATTTCTGTTAAGCGCAGTAAATCTAAATGGCGTTTCTCTAGTTTTGCCTATTCGCTTTGCTGAACAGTCCTCATTGAAATGGCTGCAGGGCACTGAGTCGCCAGATAGTCGACGAGGCCCTCGTAGCCTTCCTCCTCCCAAATGTGTGAAACTAAGGCGCATGTCAGGCCAAGCGCGCTTCAGCACGACCCAGGCTGATGGTTCCACCTCTGCATCGACAGGATGACTGTTCCGCATAGATCGTAACGCGTATGGATGTGTCTGCGCACGTCTGTGCCTATGCGTAAATGAACAACGCCATCACTGCCGTCTTGACGTAAGTGTTATATTTAGCACCCCAGAGGAGTTTCGCAGGTGTCTTTAATCGCACCGCATTAAGCAGCTTTACGCGTTAGTTCAGTTCAATCTCATTTCTCATTGATTCCATTCGAAGTGGACGCATACTCCTTGGCAGAGGGGTGGAGACAGATGGCGCAATTAAGCGCCACACGGAAACTGCTACTGTTTTTATTGCTACTAGTAATAACCGGCTTTTCTGATCGAACGGCGGAGCTAGTTTAGAGCCTAGAAGAGGCGAGCCATAGTGGCTGTGTACGGTCAGTCGGCCGCCTTATGCGTCGAACGATTTGCTTCGATTTATTTTCTTTGCGCTGCTGTTCAATGGCGTCAAATAGGATCCGACAGGACTGCTTCGGCCGTGTCCTCCACTGCGGATTGAGGATAAGAACGGCCAGCAGCAACAACACGCGTGCGGTTGTTGTATCGCCCATGTATGTTCCATGCACAATCATTCTGCTAGGATCACACACTGCACTAACGATTCGATTAAATACGAAATGAACCGTTTATGTATAAGCAGGCAAATTATCCTTCGGCACAGACGGCAGCAACAACTAGGTACTGCTAAATTAAGGCATGACAGAAAAGTTTGACCTGCGGATTATCGACTGATAGCAATCAGGACAATGTGCTTAGCGCCATGTGCCATACACATAAAATACAAAAGCCGAGTATACAACATGTATAACGTGCGCCTATGTATGTTCGTACGCACATATGTTTGCATAACCGTATCTATTTATCTATATGTACAGTGTGCTACAGTACTTGAATGCTGCTATCAGACGTATTGGATTCACACATTGGAAGCCATTTATCGAAGTAGACCGACGTAAGCGGCGCACTCCGAACCGAGAGATGGTCTATCTCGTTGAAACATCTGGTCGACACAGCCGAATGGCCAATATCAACTGTTGTTTGTTTGTAGTCTAACTTGTTTTGTGTACTTTTGAAACCCGTTTTCGCCGGCAGACAGCAGGCTCGATGGGTGCGCGACAGCTACATAAACGTTTGGCGAACCCTATCTGAATGGTATTGTCACTTAACTCTCGACTGAGTAAGCGGGTGCCTACAGTAACAAGCAGTCTGGTTAGCGTCTTTTAGCTCGTCTAACAGCTTTATTAGCGAAATATAGCGGTCGCTCGCGTAAGAACCGGCCGCTCACGCCGGCCACGCCGCAAGGAGTAAGTTGCCTCATTCCAAATCTATATCTCGATAGCACTACGAACTATAGTAAAAATGTAGCACCATCGACGGATGCTCACTCGGGTTGTTCCTTCATCGCCACAGACAAAGAACCTGATACAGCAGAGACGATTGTCGTCAACCGTCGGCCGGCTAGCTCCGCCCCCGACGAGCTGGGGCTGTCGTCCTTTGAACCATCCTTCTTAGCTGCATCGAGCGGTTCTCCTCTTTAGCGTTGCTAGGCGATACCTTGATGCTGTAGCCAGACACTCTTATCACCTGCCGGAGTGACGAGCCACCCGTGCCGATAATGGCCCCAACGGTACTTGATGGAACTCAGCATCAGCTATCCAAGATAACTTTGAATTCGCTAAAGACATAAGGAATATCTGATATACAATCATCTATGTATGCACGTATTTCATATTAAATCTGCAGTCCGAAGGCACTGAACTGCTATATGTCTGTCGAATATTAGTAGCTGAGTTTCAACTGGCATATATTATCATCTTAAAATGGCCTCTCCCACAGCTGTCCTGTAGAAAATAAGGAATAAGAACGGTAAGTTCAAGAAACCACTACGAGATCCTGCAGTATACGTCTCACTAAAGTATTGCAGTAACTAGCAAGCCACTTACAAATTCATTATAGTTGCTTAAAATCGATCAATAGGTTGGGATGTCAACGACTGATAAAGGTTTCTTCCCGCATTCTCTTATTTTATACACACAGTAGTGCTTTAGGTACATAAAAAGCCTACTCCGGTCAAGCTAGCACATATATTCCTGAACTCAACCTTATTCAATGACGTCATCTTTGCTTGCCATCGCTCGTTATTATACTACGTCGATCTTATTCCCAAGGGAAACTTGTCAAAACAAATAGAGCACAGAGCGGTATCCAGTCAGTTTTAGCTTACTCAGTACCCTACCTTCGGCCTAGTCCACCTAGTAAAGGTACATCAAAACAGGAAGCAATTCGCCGATCAGCTACTACAATGAAGGCCTACATAAGAAGTGCCAAGAGAAGAAGCAAATGGAATCCACTGAAATGTGAACAGGCGTCACTGTCTGACTCATAACAGTTTGCCATGGTCGAGGGCGATGTTTCACAATGTTGGGGTAACGCCAACACAGAGGGGCATAACCGTGTTAAGGCCTATCGACACGAATTGAGC